ATGAATTACCAAGGTATGAAGATGTCGGCCATTCAGGCCCTCCCAAACCCAAGACGACGGCTCCTTTTCCTCTTTCCCTTTCGGAATTCATGCATGCACGTAGGAGTTTCGCACACCTTAGAGAACGTCGTGCTATGAATTTTGTTTGGTGGTTGGAATTCCGGAATTTACGGGCGTCTTTTCCCTTGACGTGTCATTTCTTGCATTAAGAATTTCCCGTATCCGCCCTTGAAAGAACGGTGAATTTTCAGTAGGCAACTGGATAGACGTAGGACTTTTGCGGGCTCAAATCTGTGCGCCTGTATAACATTTGAATTTCGTATTCTTGAAATAATTTTGGGGTAGGAACACAACTGTTTCAAGGTCCTTCTTCTCTCTCAAAGCATTAGCGCGGCATCTGCGAACTTCCCCCTGCACCCTTCGCTCATCCCGTGCCATCTTCCCTAATCTCTTCTTCGCGCCTTCTCCCCTTCGCCTGTAACTGTTTTCGATCCCCTCTCTCCCTCTCGTGCTTCACCCTCACTTCTTCTCGTCTGAATCTTGGATCTGCTCTGCGCTATGTTTTGCGCTCTTCTCCTTCACGCCTACATCCCGACGACAGAACTCCCTATTGATCCCGCCCAAGGCACTCGAAGCCACTCATCGACGTCGTGTAAGGAGAAAAAACTTCTCCCTGCACTTGGGCACAGGGCCCGGTAAAAAAAAAAAAAAAAAAACTGACTGGCTGCGTGAAGAGCTTGCGGGATCGATATGGCTTTTTGTGGGCGATCATCTTAAACTCCACTCCTCCCAACCCTCACCCCATACTTCTCCCTTTGCTGCCTTCCTGCTCGCAAGCGCGTCCGAAAAGCTCTCTCTCAACCCATCAGCCAACTTCCGGGAAGTCGTGGCTAGGTGATGGGAATGCACGGCGGGTCGGAAAGTCCTAACGAGCTAACAATGGTTCCGCAAGGCTGAGCGTCAGGTGGCCGCGACGAACTGTGGGATCTGGACCGGTCAGTGTAGGAGCTCAGTAGGCGGGGTGACGACCGTGTGGTGGTTAGGTATGTGGCGGCCGGGATCGCCAGTGCCAAAGTGTTGAAATGTGCTTGTGATTGAGAGGTTGTATGGCCTGGGTCCATAATCAAAGAGCGAGGGGCTTGCTCGCATGGGTTCTACGGTTCTTTCTCTTACTCTGTCTGGAAGATAAGCTCATGACAAATTGCCGGTTTTGGTCCCCTGATCTATTTTGCGTGCTTCCTACTCTTTTCGTGTCTTCACTCTCTTCCTTCTTTCGAGTTATATCTCCTCTGTCCACATCTCTCTCATCCTCTCTCTTTCCCTTGCTTTTTGGTATTTCCATCATAAATAGCTGAATGCATTGGCAAAGGCCCTACGAGTTCCTGAAGTGTTGTTTTGTTCGCTCGGCTAAGTTCAATCGGATCCCGCGGGAACGGGCATCGTTGAATTTGGAAGCCGCAAAGCTCAAGTGATCTTGTCAGTTCCCTCTCTTTCCCGAGCTACTTAACACCTGATGATGCATGCAAAATTCTTGTTTGCTGGTAGGAATGAATTAACGGTTGCACGAATGTAAGCCGATTGATCTCTCGATTGAATTAGATTGCATGCTGATTGGAAATTGATGCATGTTGCGATGTCTGCGTATTTTCTGTGAATGAATAAAAGACCAAGTAGGTGGGCGCAACCTGGTTTCTACTCGTACCATGTCGACCGAACATTCTAACCCGACCGGGTGCCGACATTCCGCACCCCCATCTCGGTCATTCCCCTATAATGAGGACATAACACATGTATGCAAGTGGGACGTACGGGAAGCCATCGCCAAGATCAACGAAAGATACTATTTGCCGCCAAAAATGAGGTGTTCCAGATTTGTAAGTGCTGGTTTTGTCATTGTTGACACTCACTTTCCCCCGTATTCACGGTTGTTGCCTTTTAACGAGTTGATCATCATCCCGTGGACTGCGGTGGCACCCCATTGGCCCAACACTCTGTGCAGTGAGTGTCGCCGCGCAGAACGTTATCGGAAAAGGGGGTTCCACTACCGAACATGTGGCGAAGACGAACACAAGGAACGAGCGACCCGGTTGAGGCCCTCCACGTCGGACTCGGAACTTTGCAATGAGCGGCGTCGGGATCTGATCCGAAAACGAGATCCCGCGTGCGTTCCTTCGCCCTTTCACTCTAAGAGACAGTCGGTAGCCCGCGCACAAGTACAGCGACACTTTTTGGATTGAGTGGATGTTTGAAAACCGCACTTGTTCCTTTCCCATGCGATAGAGACCCATTCTCGTTAAAACTGGAACCACACGAGGGATTTCCGTTCCATCTGAGTCCCCACACTCAATTTCCCAAAAACCCTTGGCACACCCCATCTCACTGTCTTTCAGGGCCTTTTCAGAACAAAACACAACTCTGACCGAAAGACAGTACGGGGCGTGAGGTTAGAGCGTCACAAGTGTCCCTGTTTGTTTTTTTTTTTTTTTTTTTTTTTTTTTTTTTTAATAATGACGGGGCCCGGTGCCCAAGGCTGATATTACCAATAATAAGATTGAGGTCGGGCTCCTCACAGTCTGCCTGGAGTAATCGAACCGAAACTGCTGAGAACCGGGCTCAGCATCCCTCAAATGGATATGATGATGACCATGATGATAATGATGCTAATGAGAATGATGATTCAAATATATGAAAAAATATCGAAGATTATGCTATATCAGTTATTCTGGCCTCCTAATCCTAGTCCTAGTACAACTCTTAGCCCTTCCTGTACCAGGACACTGTACCTCAAACCGAATGCTTCGCCCTAGAATTAATTTAAAAGACAAGATTTCCACCAGATGGAGAGAACAGCTAAATGTTAGTCAAGAAGATTTGAGGTCGGTCAGGTGGTTTAAAGCAGTTAAGCAAAAACCGGTCAAAATCGCTTCACTCCAATGGCAGATTGAACATAGGTGTCTACCAGTAAATGACTGGCTGATTGACAGATCCTTGTTGGAACAAAAAGGACTAGCAGAAAGATGGTGTAAGTTATGCAAATCAGCCTTCCCAAGCAGAATCTACCCTGAAACTATAGAGCATATCTTTATGCAATGTCCGAGTTCAGTATGGCTTTGGAGGTGGTGGGATCGAATCTGGTCACGATTAGTCCCACAGGTTCCTTGGCCATGGGGATGGAAAGTTATTCTTCTTGAGACCTGGAATCCAGAGCCGGAATTAGTAGGAAATGATGGGGACTTTGTGGAAAATCTTTTTACCATGGGGAGAAGAGCGGTGTTGCGGGCCATATGGATGAGGAGATGCACGTATGAATGGGAAGGAGCTAGACTAGATGGCCTTGAATTTACAGACAATATTAAACAACAAAATCAGACAGATATATTGAGCAAATGGGAACGAACAAAAGAAAAAGTTCAATTCCTCTCAGACAAAACAGAAATCCAAGACCATTTTCGTAAATTCAGTCGTAATTGGCTGGGCGGAAACCAGGACAGGAGAATTGGTTGCSTYGTTTGGAATGGASCTGGAAAKGTGGATGGCACTGTTCTGAAAAGAGATTACAAATTGGTCTTTGATGATTGGACTTCCATTGACGCAACTGTTCCCATGCGTCCGTTATCAGATTTCCCGGATCCCTTTCCTTTCCCAGCTACTACCCTTGTTCCMAGTTCATGGTATGGTTTATAGAATCAGTACTGCTAGCTTCAACAGGTATATCTGGCGTCCTGAACAGGATGAAGAGGTAGTGTGGTTCTTTTAGTTTCTGTTGACAGGAAGTGTGTGACAATCTCCTTCATTTCTAGAACATTGTTTCTTCTTTATTCCTATTCACATATGGTATTCAAGCTGTACAATCAAGGGACGCTGGACCCGGTTTCCAGCAGGTGATGCTTCCCACCAATAGATGGAGCTGTTTTGTTAAAAAAAAAAAAAAAAAAAGGACACTGTACCTCAGAGACAAAACCAACCTAACCAACATCAACCATAGCTGATCTCTTCTCGCCTCCTTGCAGCCCCCCCCGGTTCACCACTGGAATGCCTTCCACCCTCAGCAAGCCCCAGATCTCTCTACAAGGCCTCACACTCCTGCCATTTACAGGTTACAGGGCAACGCCCAGCTCCGGCCAGCGTCGTTCTGGCATCGGTAAACCAAGTTGTGTGGATCCAACCACATGTCTCTGAACATCGTGATTGCCAGTTGCCTGGTCTCCTGATTTGTCATATTCTATAGATCTGCTTGAAGTCAATTATGGGCCTTTGCTATGGTTTCTCTAATGAAGTCCGCCATCTCTCCTTTGGCGTGAGGAAAAGTGAAAGCTCCCCATTGTCGTTCGACCGATCAGCGCATCCTCCATATGGCCATAAGGATGACCAAGCATGTGTGTTTAAACTTTAAGGAAGTTGCATTGAAATATTGACCAACAGGAGGGGTAGTCAGCAGGTCATCACACCAAGATAAGTCGTATGTCCCATTGGAATGCCTCTGGTCAGAAAGGTAGTGCCAAAGCGCATCCCACCATTTCCAAACCAGAGTGGCCATGGGGCAGGCAAGTAGACAGTGTTCCAAGTCTGCTTGTCTGCGCGGTTCGTCCGGCCCACAGAGTGTGCACATCGGAGACAGGATGGCATTCTGTTCCGAGTTAGAGTGGGATGTTAACCAGTCTGGTGTGGGCAGGCATCAGTGGAGTATTTGGCACTGAAGTGCTCTGTGCGAGGTGGGCATGATGTGGGCGTCGTTGATCTGTGGATTGCCAACGATAGGCTGTCTCCAAATTTCATGCCATTTCTCTCCATAGTTGTAGAATATTGTCCCACAAAGGATCTCTTTTGAGGTCCCACCTGATACTATTGCAAGTCGTGCCATCCCTCCTATGTTTTGGAGGGCTTGGTATAGACCACCCCCTATTCGTCAACCATCTTTTTTTTTTTTTTTTTTTTTTTTTTTGTCAACCATCTTAACGGTTGGACCGGGTTTGTGATGGGGGAGAGTGGGGCGAGATGAAATTAACTGAAAGTAAGCAGGATCTAGCCAGGGGAGCTCATTAGCCATAAGCATCCTGGTTGTGACCTTGAAAATTAGAGGCTTAATTTGGTCCCCTGGGTCCAATAGGCCCAGTCCTCCCACTCTCTTTGGTTGGGTGACATATCTCCAACCAACTCTTTTGAAACACTTTACTTGCTGATGATCATTCTTCCATAGAAAGGCGGACACCGCAGCTTGAAGTTCCTTCAAATGTTTCTTCGGTATTTCCAATGATATTGTTTTGTACCATATGGTTTCCAAGATTGCATGGTTGATGGCCAAAGCTCTACCTATCAGAGTGGTGTACAATACATCCCATTCTACGCAGACAGGTTTCTACCAAGGAGTGTCCATGATCTGTAGGGGGCCCTAGGGCTGTGAGTCTAATGCCCAGAATAGTTATGGCCTCCTCAAAGCGATGCCAGTTAGTTGTGGCTCTCGCGGGGGATGCGGGTGCAGCAAGTTCATCCACCAGCCTTCAGTTTTGGACCCACAATTCACCTTCATGTCCGCGGCAATCTCAAAGGTTCGTATGGTTGACACTAGGGCTTGGTGCCTTGATGAGGACAGTGAGGTCATCTGCGAAGAGGGAGGGAGGTTAATGGTACGAGATGAGGAGGGAGTTCTAGGATGTCAATTCTTTCTATATCCGCGTTCTCACGAATCATGGCCTCCAGGGCTTCCATGACTAACACGAATAGAAGAGCGCCCAATGGGTCACCTTGTCTAACTGATAGCTGAAGCTGAAGCTGAAATGGTGGAGATAAATGGCCATTTATCATTATGTTTGTGGCAGCCGATCTGTGCATTATAGCGGACCAAGATCTAAAGGATTCCCCAACGTTCATCTTTCTGGAGACAACAATCCAGGAAGCCCCAGTCAACGTGGTCATAGGCTTTTTCAAAGTCAATCACAATCACTGCAAAGCTCACGGGCTCTGTTTGGGAATGTTCCAGGTTCAACAGGACATCCGGCTGAGAAGTACCGGATACGGTGGATACCAATTTATGTAAGGGTGGGTTGCGGCAGAGAAGTGTGGGTGCGATATGTATAGAGCAGAGGTAAACAGGGGAGGGGAGTGATATGGACAGGAGAAGCATACCTTCATTCCCTCAAAACATGTGAGTGCATAATGAAACACCTGCGACAACAACACATTCCCAAGCCACACACGACTATCAACAACAAATTTCGTTTTTCTCTTTTTTTTTTCTTTTTTTTTTCCCCTCAACAGCACCACAGGCCAGAACGTCATTCTATGCGCCTATAGAAGTTTGATGCACGCATGAACTTTTGACATACAGACCCAAGTTCGAATCCATTTTTTATTTTTATTTTTTTTCCCACCTCATTTGGCGTATTATTCTTTTGCCTTTTACCCAAGTTCAAATCCAGATGCAACCAGTTGAACATAATAAAATAATTCAAAAGAAAACTTTAAGGGGAAAACAGAGAGAAAAAACATCGCTCTCCCTTCACAGTCCATATTGTCCATCGGTGACGGCCATCCTCTCAAAGTAGGTTGTTTTTTATCCAAAAATAAGTTTAAATAATAGTATAATCTAGGCTGTTTGCCTGGGCGCCCCGACACCCAACTTGTGCCCGGATACATGCCCGGGTGCCCAGCCAGGCATGAACCCCCGGTAGGGTTCCGGGCAGCCCCAGCGCAAAGGGGGGGGGTTGGGGGGAGGAATTCAAAAAATTCCGGGAAAAAAAAAGGTTGTATAGAATTGCAATGTGAACAACGTTTGGGTGAGGGTCACATCAGAATTCCTCATGGAACCGAAGATAAGAAAGAAAACAACAGAATCAATCGAAGGAAGCCCCCTTTAAACCCCTTTAGTCCCTTGAAAACCAGTTTATACCCCAGTTGACAGCCATCACTCGAAGAAAGAAAGGAGCCTGGATTTGGGCTCCTCTGGGGATGTGCAGAAAGTCCTCACCCACAGGAAAAAAAAAAGAAGAAGAGAAAAAAAGGGCTGATTTTTGCCTGCACAGGGTGCCCCGTGCAGGTGCAGGTGACCCCCGGGCGACTTGCCAGGGCTGCATGGCCGGGCAAGGCAAGCAGCCTACAGTATAAAACTAAATAGTGAAATATCAGAAGAAGCGACCCGGCATCACCACGGGTCTAGTCCTCTGCCTCTACAACACCCTGGGATTTTATATATAAAAAAAAAAGAAAAGAACAGAAAAGAAGAAGAACAGACCCTTCAGTTAGTCTGGCACCACACCGGTTCCATCATGGCTGCCACCCTAAACACTGGGACTACCTTCTTACCCCTGAACACAACTCACCCCCATCATGACTGTATGATCAGTATCCGACTGGAAAAATAGCTTGTATACATTGATGATGAGACAGCATTCTATTCCGGGTCAGAGGGTAGTGCAACCTGTGCAGCCAATCCCCTGGGATCGACGGCAATCAATGCTGACAGGCTTCAGTTGCATTCTCCTCCAACAAATTCGGTTACCTGATGTTACCTGATGTTAAAGGGACGCTGGACCCGGTTTCCAGCAGGTGAAGCTCCCCACCAATAGATGGAGCCTCCCCCTGGAATGCTAGTGGTGTCTGCTCTTACCAGCAACCCTAGCATCCACTCGGGTTGTCATCAAAGCTGCTTGAACAGACTGAGATGATCCTCAGATTCGCGGCCTGGAGAGCATAGTGGGCGGCCTTCTTTTTCTTTTTAAATAACTACGTCTCCGTCAGAATATGAGTTTGTAAGGGCGTGCTCGCACTAGCACTTTCCAAAATGCATCAGACTGCAATTTTGGGCACACCTGTATGCATCTAGCCACAGTTCTGTCCACAAATAAGTAGAAAAGTCTAAGTGTGAGTAGCCCTAAGAGGCAAAAAAAAACACTAACAAGCAGGCCTTTTTTTTTTTTTTTTTTTTTTTCTTTTTTTAACTAACTAACAACCTAGGATATCCACTTTTGAACACCGTGTCCTGGCTGTAGTGGTTAAGAGACTTGGCTCTTGAGGCCGAAGTCGCCGGTTCGAATCTGTGCTTGCACGGAGGAGGACTTAGGCCCAGATGTACGGAATCCATACTACTGCGGAAGCGCCCGTGAACCGACGGGCATTGACAAGTCCCATCTGTGTGAGAGGGTAAGAGTACCAGCGGGGGTTACGTGCTGACTACAGAGCGAAGTGTACGAGAATTGTCGTGTCCGTGGGTGTTGTGTGTGGTGTGTGTTGAGTTGGACACTACAGCCTTGCAGCGGTGGGGTGGATATCACGACCGGTACGATTCCACTTTTGAGCACCGTGTCCTGGCTGTAGTGGTTAAGAGACTTGGCTCTTGAGGCCGAAGTCGCCGGTTCAAATCTGTGCTTGCACGGAGCGGCCTGTTAGGCAAAAGCCTCAATCCCGGTGGTTCTCTTACCACCACCAGGATAGAGGTTTTGCACAAGGGCCTTTTTCCTAAAAAAAAAAAAAAAAAAAAAAGGACTTAGGCACAGATGTACGGAATCCATACTACTGGGAGTTTGACAAGGCAAAAGAAACACTAAATAGCAACTTCGACACGGGTGGGGTTTGAAATACGCCAAAAGTCGAAACGTGGTAGCTCAGTTGGTTAGAGCACCGGCATCACAAGGGGCAGGTTTTGGGTTTGAACTTTGATTCTGATCGACCTCATTCTTGGGTTGGTGTTACTTTGACACCCCACCGAGTAGTCCCCCAACCTAGCATAGCTGTGGTAGCTCCCAGGACAGCAAGCACGATAGCTTAGGTGGTTAGAGCATTGCCATGTCCTGGGAGAGGTTGTGGGTTCGAGGTTCAGGTAAGAGGGACTCTTGGGCGCCACCTCTGCTAGGACACTTCCATGTTAGCATAGTGATTGTGCCCGTAACCATTCTTTAGGAGGGTGGGAGATTGGGGTGGAGTTGCGGACAGCCCTATGGGAGGGGTGATCAGTTGAACTACTTAGGGAAAGGAGAAGAGTAGACAACCTTTGGGAGGGGGGTGCTCCTCTTGTCCAGCAAGATTGGGGGATTGAAGACTGGGGAGCATGTAACGACAAAATAATCCAACTATAATATAACCCTGATAGGTACACAGGCTGGTCTAGTTAGCATAGGTAAGACACTTCCCAGGGTGGCTCCGAGGAAACATTCAGTTCCGGACTAGTCTGAGTGGCACACAGGCTAGTCTAGAGTTGGCTTAGGTGATGACACTGCCTACGGTGGCTCCGTGGAAACCTTCAGTTCCTGACTAGCCTCTGGCTGGTCTAGAGTTGGCATAGGTTAGACATTGCCTAGGGTGCCTCCGAGGACACATTCGGTTCCGGACTAGCCTGGAGTGGCACACAGGCTGGTCTAGAATTGGGTTACGGTGGCTCGGTAGAAACATTCGGTTCCGCACTGGCCCGGAGCTGTACTCATAACAACCATAACATAAGCCAACTAGGCGCCCAGAATGGTCTAGAGTTGGCTTAGGTAAGACACTGCCTAGGGTGGCTCCGTGGAAACATCCGGTTCCGGACGGGCCTGGGGATCATAACTGGTAACTAATAACCAACTGAGGGGTGCAAGGGGGGGTGGGCCGGAGATTTTCCCTGGCAGGAATCGCGCCTGTGGCGAACTGGTGCGGGTTACAGGATCGATAAGTTTGCCCCTCAACTAACCACAACAATAACACAACCTATAATACAGGCCTTATACGGCAATAATAGTAGGCTATGCTAGGAACATGGTGCCCGGGTTGGGTCAGAAGGGCTGTCTCAGGTAAGACCTTGGTCAGGGTAGAACCAGTACACACTGCCTAGGGGAGGCTCTACGGAATATTCCCTGTCTGACCAACCCGGGCTGGTGCTCATAGGAAAAAACAAAGTGTACAGAACGATCATGCTTAGCGACCGAAGTGCCCGTGCGACGGGGCTCGCTAGGTAGTGCTTCAACTGGGTCTGGGAGAGGTTGTCCTAGCCTAGCGCTGGTGTCTGCAACCGCTGTCCAGTATATCCGAGGTAGGGCCAACAAGTGGCTCCGTAGATGGGGAAGCAGAGGTTACGCTAAGGAAGCAGAACGATGAGGTAGGTAGGGTTCAAAAAAAAAAAAAAAAAAAAAAAAAAAGTGTCCTGTGAGCACCTACAAGGGGGGGTAGGAACTCCAAAAAGAGTCCACCACGTTGGAGGACCTGCCCGAATTTGAAATAGGCAAAAAAGAGTCTATCACGATGGGGGACCATGGGGGACCTGCCAATTAAGTAATCAAAATGGGCCTACAAGCGGACATGTGTCGGACCCTATAGACACCATTCTCGTAGTGGTGGGCCCACATGAGGAGTGGACCGTGAATTCGAATCCCAGTGTGAATTCTTCCCTTTGTGGAAGTTGAGCTGCCTCCCTCGTTCGTGATCACCCCTCCATCCACCCCCTCACCTGGGTGGAGGATAGATTTTGGCGTATCCCTAGAGCTCGGGCACAATCAAGGGAGGAAGGAGTTAGAGGAGCAGCAAGAATGAATCTATTGTTCGATAATTTCTGGGTTGTTCTTTTGAAAACATGGCATCACCTACCATTGCCAGCCAGATATGCCATTTCCCTCAAGGTATGAGGAGGTACTTCGCCAACCTCTTTTTGGAAACAGATGGATTATTGACAAAAATGGCTGCATTTTCAACAGCTCAGACTCTCTGTGGTCCGTATGGGTCAAACGAGGGATAGTAAGGGTCAAGGACATATGGGACCCTGGAACAAAAAATTGGAAATCTGCAGATCAGCTGAAGGGAACCCTAAGATATGCTCACCAACTAGCTCAAAATCTAGACCAAATTATTTTCTCCATCCCGTTAGACTGGGTTAAAACACTCATGAAAGGAACCAGGTTCAAGGAGGCAGACTGGGTGGCAGGATGTGATACAAATGGACAGCTTTTGGTAGGACAAGTGATACATTTATTGCCCCAAGAAGCAATTGTTGGTATAACACCGATGGGCAGGGATCATACTATTCAATTGCTTTATGAGAGAAGGTGTTTTTTTTTTTTCCCCTCACCCACATGTATCGCATTAGAGTTCTTTTTGTCTCCTCCATCAAAGGTTAGCTTGCTTTTCATCCTAAAATACCTATACCAGAACTCCCTTTTGACCCGGCGGAATGCATATGGCAAACAAGCAAAAAGGGGAAACCAAGTTTGTTACAATCCCTCACAGTCAAGGCATCCTATAGGCTTCTAAGACCTAAGGTGGATATATCCGCAGTCCAACAAGAACGGTGGGCACGACATTTGAATGCAGACTCACAACTTCTTAGGAATGTGAAAATTTTCAAGTTTGTCAAACAACACCCTGCCAAGTTTGCTTCCCTCCTGTGGCAGATCGCTCATCGCTGCCTACCTACAAATGATTGGCTACTTGATCATTCGTCACTAGAACAGCAAGGTTTGGCCACCCCTTGGTGTCCCTTTTGCCAATCAACCTTTCCCACAAGGAGAATTCGGGAAACCATCAAACATATTTTCTTGCAATGTCCAGGATCGCTCCTCTTATGGAGGAGATGGGACTGCATCTGGAGAAGTCTGACAGGAAAGGACTGGCCTTGGGATTGGAGGGCAATTGTACTCGGTTGATGGGAGCCCCTTGATTCCTCTCTTTCAAAGTTTCAGAGGGACCTTTTTGAAATTGGTCGTAAAGCGATGTTGGGGACCATGTGGTGTGTCAAAGTAAGAGGAGGAGTTCGTTTGGAAGGTTTGGAGGTTGTTGAACTTATTGTCCAATTCATACAAACAGAAATCAGAGCTCACTGGTCGACTCTCAAAACCAAATTAATGCTTTTTCACCAAAAAAACGATATTCTACAACACAGTCAAGAGTTTAATTTGGACTGGCTGGGGAAAACTGCAGGGAGGGGACTGGGCGAGGTGGTTTGGCCAGGTGCGGAAACAGTGGGTCATCTTCAACGGGACTTCCAGCTTGTTTTTCCTAACTGGTTTACACTTCAGCCTGGAGACTCCCTCAGATCTCCCGATTGTTTCCCAGACTTTTTCCCTCCTTCGGAATTCTCCCTGGTTGATTTGCAATGGTATGGTTTAAGGGAGGACTAAGTTTAAATAGACTCTTGGATAGATAGGCAACCTGGGTTACAAACAAACAAACAAACAAAACAAAACAAAACAAAAAAAAAAAAAAGCTGCCTCCCTCGTTGCAGCAATTAACGGATGTCTCAAATGCTACACTGCCACGCTGCCATGCCTCCATTCTGCAAGCACGTGGAACGCACCTTCCATCCTGTTCCTGGTCTCCCTCTTTCCCTTCTGTTACTCCTCTCCCTCCTTCCCTCCTTCCCTTCTCTCTCTCTCTGGGTAAGTTGGAGCCACAAACTGACAGCTCCCAATTTTCCAGCTTTGCCTGAAATTGGCAAAGCTACCTTCCTAGGCGCACAAGCCTCTGACTGTTTTTTTTTTTTTTTTTTTTCCATAGTGGCTTCCGCTCTCACTACCAGCCAAGGCCCAAAGCGTCATGACCTTACTGCGTAAACCTGTAAGAGCCCGACTTAGCTTCGGGCGAACTGGTGTCTTAAGGATATACAGTACAAAGTGGATGTTTTGAAAGGATAAGGTGGAGCCACGCAACGGTATGAAGGTCGAGCCATAAAAAGGACATAAAGACGGAGCCATACCTTTCTGGGCCTTTTGGCCAATAAAGATCAAGTGTGGTATCAGGTTAATATCTGATCAGTGCTCCATCCGGTGGCCAAGTCCCACCAGCTTCCGTTGCGCTGGCCGTTGTCAAGTTTCTAGCCTCTGCAGCGGAAAGATACTGCTAGCACTCGTAGATTTGCTTCCGAGGGGTCCGATCCGATTTACGTTGTGGCATCATTTGTAAACAAAGAAGTGGGAGGTTTGCGCCATTCTGTTGTGCTCCTGTAGATTGTCGGGAAATGGGACTTGCACTTGAACTGTCAGTGACTACCCTGCTACCATCTTCACCTGAATAGAATGCCCGGTCATTATGGCTGTATTCGGTGCAATTTTCAGCCTGAAATGGCTGTATTTGGCGCAATTTTCAGCCTGAAATGGCGCAATGTTCAGCCTAAAATGGCTGTATTAAAGTGTATCTGGTGCAATTTTCTTTCATCCTAAATACAGCGATAATGACCAGGCATGCTACTCGGGTGAAGACATAGTGCGGGGGGTGTTAATTCAACCGGTGAAGGCAAGCGAAGTACGGGTGAGGCATCATAACCTTGTCAGTGGCACAATACTCTGACAGAAGCGGGTGTCAGAGCGTTGCTGCGATGGCTGGCATGAAGGCTGGCATGAAGACCTGAAAAATGACTGTCCTTTTCGGCGGGGCGGTGGATGCACCTCCCAGGGAGCTGTGTCCACATTCACTTGCTGACATCCGGGTCCAGCAGGTGGGAGTCTGACTGTTGTCAGATGCATCCGGGTTGAGCAGTGATAGTTGTCGGATACATTTGGGAAATTGCTAGCGTGAGGGCATAGGGCCTCACTCCACTACTCTTGACATGTGCAAAACGAGAGCGAATCTTCCGCTAGAACATGGAAAGATACACCACCATGATTTCTGTCTTTTGTGCATGTCTAGAGCAGTAGAGTGAGGCCCATAATCACACTAGGACTTTTTATACTAAGCTCTGGACGCGATGGTGGACACATTCATCCAGGTCCAGCCGTAATAGCGGTCAGATGCATGAAGGAAAGTGCCAGTGTTCATATGACCTGACGATGCCATGTCACAGCCACAGATATCCGTCCCATTCCTGGATTGTCTTTTTGCGAAACAGGGCCAAAGGATTTTTTTTTTTTTCTTCAATTATTCTTATTTTGTCTTCTTTGTCCCAAAATGTGTTGCATGTTTGGTGCCCGCCACCTAGAGATAGCCCGTTGGTCCCCCCGAGTGACATTGAAGCAGAGACTGCTGATGTGTCCCCCCGAGTGACATTGAAGCAGAGACTGCTGATGTGTTTGTAGGTGGAGGGGAGGCACAGCGAGTGGCACATTGGAGAAGCTCGGTCCTGATGTTACCTACCGGCCGACCCCTGGCCGGTATCACCCACCTTCCGGGCGGGTGCAGCCCCCCCATGTTCCCTCGTTGAAGGCTTGGACTCGGGCTGGCTGCTACGGGGTAACCAGTAATACTACAAAATTACAAATGCCTGAAAGGCCATCCTGTCCAGAGTCTACAGGTACGAATTGATTTGGTTGGACTTAAAAGAATTGACCTTTTTTTAATTAAAAAAAAAAAGAGGAAAGAAAAAAATGTGTCCCACATTTGAGCTATTTCAACTCTATGGCCGTCGGTGGGACGTGAGGCCAGGAATTTCAAGAGCCGCGAAACAACATGATTGATGCTGTCTTTTTTTTTCCGTTTTTTTTTCGACATCAGTCCCGGACAAAATTTATATATATATATAAAAAAAAAAAAAAAAAAAAAAAAAAAAAAAAAAAAAAAAGAAGAAGAAGAAAAGAAAAGAAAAGAAAAGAAAAGAAAAGAAGAAAAAAAAAAGAGAGGGTATACGAGTGTCATGATGTCATCCGAATTGGAGCCTGTTCTTTTTATGGCTCAAGTCTTTTCTTTTTCTTTTCTTTTTTTTTTTTCTTTTTCTCCTTTTTTACTTTTTATCGTTATGATACCTGTGCAAATGGATGGAGCTCAAAAGCTTGAACTGGCTTGATGGATGGTGTCCCCCACCCTTCGCCACGTTTCCACTTAATCTGTAGCATATGATCCGTGGCATATCTGCCGAAGCTGTTCACCGTGGCTGACAATGGAGGCTTGGGCTGCACAATCAAAGGACACGATCAGCATCTTCTTACTCTCAGTGCAATGCTCTTTTCAATACAAATAAAGTTTAATAAACATAAAAACAAAACTTGTATGAGCCATGCTTGGAGTAGCAAGCCTCCTGTTGTCGATTTCTCTCTCTTTTTTTATTTTTCATAGATCACCAGTACGTTTCCCAGCCATTTTTTCAGAGTCGCAGCGTGCATGCTGGCGCAAAACTTTTCACCTTGATGTATGCAAGGCCCATATTGCCTGGATGGATGTCCAGCGAAACAGTGTCATTAGCAATCTGGTGGTTAGATGATGGGTCTCTCTCTCTCTCTCTCTCTCTCTCTCTCTCTCTCTCTCTCTCTCTCTCTCTCTCTCTCTCTCTCTCACACACACACACACACACACACA